TTACTTCGTATTCGCGCCCGATCGGGCAGAGCTCGCCCGATCGGGCGGAGCTCACCCGATCGGGCGCGCAACCAGACATTTGGAATTCAGCAAATTCGCCCGATCGGGCGCACCTATTTTTGGCCGTCCCTTTTATTCCTTTCCCTTCTTTCTTTCCTCAGTTTCTTCTTCTTTCATCTTCTTCATTACTAATTTCTCTCTCTAAAACCTCCATTCTCACACCTTCAAACTCCCTTATTTTAAAGATCTCCTCCAATTCTTCCATCAAAACTCAAATATTTTTGCATATTCTTAATCCTTTCATCTTTCTCTACAATCTACACCAAATTTCTACCACTTTCTCTCAATTTTTATCAAACCCTAAGAGAGAGAAAGCTTCAATTCCTACCATTTCTCATAAATAATGGCTCTCAAAAGATCTAGGACCATAAGGGGGAGAGCTCAAGGCAACAAGCGCCTAGAATTGACCCGGAGTTGCAAGTTCCGGGATGGGAGAGGGTGGTCATCACCACCCAAGAACAAAAACAAAGGATGATCAATCTCACGTCAAGGCAGGTAATTCCTATACGTTTTGTTCATCACCCCACCTTGCTAAATTAGGAATTGATAAACCCGTAGAAAAGTTGTTTAAAGGAATTGGCATGAGTGGTTTGTTTAACTTGCACTATGATACTTATGACTATTTGACCTTGGAATTTATTTCTAGTTTTAATGTTATAAAATCTAATGCTTTGATTTCTCATGTTCAATTTAGATTACTTAATAATGATGTTAGATTGTCTTTGAAAGAATTTGGCAAATTATTTGAGTTAAAATCGTATAGACCAATTGAACCTCCCCAAGACAACATTGTTGTTGTCTATCAATCCCTTACGGGGGATGCCAACTTGAACCTCCAACATGCCAAGGGCACTTGGATACAACATCTCGTGCCAAAGTTTTGGTAACGATTTGTTGGCCTTACCATCTTTGGGAGGCATGAACCCGCCAATGTTAGGAGGGATGAGCTAGAATTTCTAGGGTCATACATGATACCTAGGAGTGATAAGCTCAACATTGTCCATAAGATGGCCAACCACTTCCAAAGGGTGGCCAATGCGGCCGAGGAGGGTAGATCTAGGGTACTTATTTGTTTTGGTGGTCTAGTAACTCACATAGTGGTCAAACACCTTCACTTTGTCCCTAACAACGAAGGGAAGGTAGTCGGCCCAACAATTATGGACCTACCCTATTTAGGTGGCCTAAATTGGATAAATGTCATGGGAGGTGAGACTTGGTGGGTGATTCAAAGGGAATCGGGTAAAAGGGACAATGCTTTTACTTTGCCCAACCCCGCCTTGACCAAATTTGAGAAGGGGAAGCCTTCTTATACTTTTGAGATTAACGGTCAAGGTAAGGTTCAACCACCTCACCCTTCACCACAACCCCACCAATCTCCCCTAGACCACTCCCCTCATCACTATTCACCACACTACCCACCACCTCCACCCTTCACATATGACATTCCCACTTCCTCAACCAACTACAACATTGACCCCAACGCCCCTTATGACTTTTCGGCTTTTAGGAGCCAATTGGATAGGATTGAGGCGGGGCAAGGGAGAGTCGAGATTATGGTTAGGAACTTGGACACTAGAGTTGGGTCTCTAGATAGACGGGTGGGGTATGTGGAGAGGAACGTCGGGATGGATTTGTACCCCATGTACGATGATTATGCACGTCGGGGGGATATTCCCCCCGAATCACTTGTTCCCGATTGGTTCCAATATCCTCAAGGAGGATACACGAACCCAAGTGCCTACGGTACCTATATGGACTACTCATCGGTCCATGGTTATGGGACCGATGTTCCTTTTGGTGGGCTTGGGGGGAACGTAGACCTTAACTACTTTGCAGGTGGTTCGGGTTATGGAGGTGGTGGTTCGAGCCATGGAGGAGTCGGTTCTAGCCATGGAGGGGGCTATTCGAGGATGGATGAGGATGAGGAGTAGGCTACACTCCCAAGTCAATGAGGGCATTGCTTGATTTGGCTTGGGGGGTGATCTTTCGCTTGGTAATTCTCTTCCTTTTCTCTTTTTATTTTCTTTCTACTATAGGTTTTATTTACTTTCCTAGTGTAGATTTTATTGCTTTCCTTTATGAGAAAAATACAAAAAAAAATTGAAAAATAAAAAATCCAAAAATACGTTCCAATGAATTGTAAATCATGCTTCCCTGTGCCCCTTATTTGAGAAAATTTGTTTTGATTCTTGGTTATTGATAATGATAATTGTGGATTTGTTGGTCATGATTTGAAGTTTAATTGTTTGGATTCCTAAACATGCATCAATTTTGCCAACTATTTGTGAATATAGTGCTTGACTAGTTGATTTGGTTAGGAATGTGTGATAGTTCCATAGTTCCTGGTATGTCAATGAATTTGAGTATTGATTTGCAACTATGAGTAGCGTTTCATGACTTATTATTATGCACATGAGGAGGACGAAGGCATTCATTCTTTTAGGTAGCCTTCATAGTATTTAGATACATTTGTTCCCTTCTTGTTACCCATGTTGTTGCTTGTGCCCTTCTATTGTTGATTATTTTGCCACATTACAAGCCTATATGAGCCCCATTGGTTACTAGTCCCAAGCTTGGCTTGGGGGAGCTATTAGTTGGTGAGGTGAGGGAGTTGTGGTGTGCACATTATTTGCACAATGTGGGAATAAAAGAAGAGTGATTGTTCATTGATTTTTGATTGGAAAATATTGATATGTTGTGTTTCAAAGTTGAAATTTCCAATATGAGTTAAAAAGAAAAAAAAGAGCAAAAGAAAAAAAAAGTTGTTTCATATGTTCAAATGTTCTATTTGAAGGTTGTTCAAGAAGAAAAAAAAAATCAAGTTTGAAAAGAAAAAAAGAGAATGAGTTCAAAGTTTGTATTTCACTCAAGTTCTACATTATCATATTTTATGAGTGAAAATTGTAAGTGTTGGGATTGTTTATATTGTTTGGAGTTGTATTTGGTGGATTCTAGCTTGTCGGAGTTAGTTATGTTGATGGAGATGTATGATCATCATTTATTTTGATCATGGGTTTATTAGGACTTGGCTCCCTTAATGCATAGCTTTTCTCTCACATACTCCCAAATTTATCCTACCCTTTACCCTAGCCTTACATTACAAGCTTTAAAGACCTTCCGACCTTGTGCATAGAGTTGTGTGAATGTTAAAGTGTTGTTTATCAATGCAAGTTATGACTTGATATATTTCGAGTCGACTAGTAGGTTGAGCGTTCATTATTTTAAACACACAAGAGTGTGAGATGGGTGGGCATTTTTCACAATTAAAGGGGTTGGTTGGAGAGCGATCGAGTACATCTTTTACTCACCACATAAATGAGAGTTGAGTGTGTGAGCACTAGTCTTGAATTCTATATGCTCTTGTGGTTTGCTCTATTTGACAATTGTTGGGGAGGAAGGGTGATTGGATGAATAAGATTGATTGATGTTGAAGCATGTTCATTAGATTTGCCTTGAATCCTTTGTGCTTGATTTGATTATTGGGGGGAGGCATGTTTTATATGTTCATTGATGAGCTCTTTGCTTAGGGACAAGCAAAGGTTTGGCTTGGGGGAGTTTGATATGTCCATTTTATAAAGTAATTTACCCTCGTCCCTTGGTCATAATTAGTAGTGTTTTTGGCTCTTTCGAGCCACTTTTATTGCTAATTGGTGTTTTGTAGGGTTTCGTAGTCTTTGTTGAGTTTTGTAGGGAATTTCACCTTTGGAGCATTTTCTCGGGTTTTTCATGGAGCGACTACGGGAGTTAGAAGGGCACGACCATCTTTGAAGCCCAAGGCCGGTTAGAGTCATCGAGCCGGTGATTAAGGGCTCGGTAATCGAGATACCGAGGTACTTGGACCGAGTATTCAAGACCCGAAGAGGAAATCCGGATTGGGCCGAGGAATCAAGCCCAATCGAAGTCTGAGCCTCGAAGTGAAGCAAGGACCCGATCGGGTAAGGATTAGCACGATCCGGCGCGGCATGCATAGTGCTGGTGCGTGGCCTAAGACGCGCCCGATCGTGCAAGCATCTAGCTCGATCGGGCGGCGCTGCTGAGAAGGGGCACGAAGAAAAAGGCGCGCCCGATCGGGCGGCCTCTAGCCCGATCGGGCGCGTGTTTTTGTCAGACCTGATTAGTTTAGTTTAATTTTTGTTTTGAGGAATGTTTAAGTACGAATTATGTACGTAATTTTATTTGACCTTCTTTTTTAGATTTTCTCTCTCTACTTAGGATATTTCTCTCTCTTAAATTCTCTCAAGCTTCCATTGATTCATATTTCCTTTGGTAACAATTTCTTCTCTTTTAAATTCCAGCTATTTCATTTACTTATTTGATTATGTTTTGTTTTATTTATTGGATTAGTTTAGTTATGATTATGTGTGAGTAGTTTCATTCTAGGGTTTATGGGGATCCATAATTAATATGAAGGGATAATTTGTTATTATTGATTTTTGGTATTGCATGACGATTTCTTATTGAATTGTTTTAATTCTTTGCAATTAGATTATGAATGGAGCAGATGTAATTTGATTGTGAATGTTTGGCAATATTGAATTGTTGAATCGAGCAGATGTTAATTTAATACTAAAGGCTATTTTTAATAGGAACTTAGATCTAGTAAATTGCGAGAGCCTGTTAGATCTATGTTGATTAATAAATTGCGAGAGCCTGTTGATCATGTTGTTTCTGCAATGTTGATTACTAGTTATTATGTTTTATCCCAAAATATTAATTATTAATGAACTTGTACCCTAGGCCTTCTTATTATTGTTTTTCTCCCTAAACTTATTCTTCGTAGTATAGACTTTATTCCCAAAAATATTGGTTACTTAGATAATTTAGATTATAATAATCAATTAGGAGTAAAAAGACTTGTTTCCCTGTGGAGGTCAACCCTACTTCCCTATGTACTTTAGTTAGAGGACTTAGGTATTTATTTTTTATTAGGGGATACGACTTTACCCTGTCAGGGCAGCACTAGAAACCGCAGGGGAGTCGCGGTCTAGGCTGCCGGCAGTAGTAGCAACATGCAGCACAGGGGAAGCAGTGGCAGGAGATGCAGGGAAGCCGCCTGCAGCGCTGCTGTCCATGTGCTCTGGCTCAAGAGAGCTTTCACTCACCTCAAGAACACTCTCCAAATCGTCCAAAAAAATAGTGTCAATGTCCCTAGTGTCGTGTGGTGCTTCCATAGTACCCACATGAGCATCACCAGCCTTTGCAAACGGACATTCAAGTTCATAAAATTTCACATCACGTGAAACAAAAATTTCTCCCGTCTCCAAGTCATACAATTTCCACCCTTTCTTGCCGTGTGGATAACCCACAAACACACACTTCCTAATTCTAGGAGCAAATTTGTCACCCTTAGCCTTTTGTTTATGAGCAAAGCAAAGACACCTAAACACTCTCAATTCATCAAAATTAGGTTCCTTGCCAAAAAGCATTTCAAAAGGTGTTTTATTATCTAGTAATCGAGAGGGAGTACGATTAATTAAGTAAACCGCACCAAGAACACATTCACCCCAAAAACCAATCGGCAAATCACCCTGAAACATTAATGCACGACTCACATTCAAAATATGTTGGTGTTTACGCTCTACTCTACCATTTTGTTGTGGGGTACCAACGCAAGAGGTTTGAAATAAAATGCCATTTTCATTAAAATACGAAATCATAGGTTTGAATTCCGTACCATTATCACTCCGCACACATTTAACATGAACATCAAATTGGCATTTAACCATAGCAAAGAAAGAGCAAAATGAAGAATGAACTTCAGTCTTATCATTTAACAAATAAACCCAAACACCTCTAGAAAAATCGTCAACAATAGTCAAAAAATAATGAGCACCACAAGTAGAAGATGTCTTATATGGCCCCCATAAATCACAATGAATCATTTCAAAAATCCGGCTAGCCCAACTATCACTATCCGGGAAACTATCCCGTGATTGTTTAGCTTGTGGACAAATTTCACATGCTTTATTCAAGACTTTGCTACTAGAACTAGTACTAACAGCAGTTACTAACTCGACGATTTGATCCGATGGATGCCCCATACGACGATGCCATAGCTCGAATGTAGAAACCGTCGGAGTTGTCACCGCACATACTGTTGGAATTCGCCGGAAATAGTAGAGTCCATCAATTCGTTCACCGCCTCCAATCAGGCTCCCCGAGTGTTGGTCCTGTATAGCACATAAAGAGTCAGTGAATCGGACATAACAATTTGAATCATCAATCATTTTTGACACCGATATTAAATTGCAATTTAATTGAGGGACAAATAAAACATTCTCAAGAGTGATGTTGTCAGCCAAATACACTCGCCCCTCTTTCGTAGCAAGAGCTTGTGTACCATCCGGAAGACCAACAGGGCACGATAACATAGAGTGTACATCCAATAAGCAAGATGCGTCACCAGTAACATGATGAGAGGTGCCGGTGTCGATGATCCAAGATAAGGAAAAAGACTCACCAATCATTTTATCAGGTTTAGTAGTAACTATATTCAACAATAGACGAACATGCTCGGGTGTGAACTCTGATAGAGCCGAAAGAGTGTCCGATGATAGAGCATCACCAAGTGGGCTGCCCACAGCATTAGCACGTGTCGTGGGCTTGCTGTGAGCAGTAGCAGGCGCGGCAGCAGCAAGGGACGGCAGAGCAGCCCTGCTGCCAGATGCAGGGGACAAGCTGCTCGACTGCCCGGAAGACGTAGCATGCCCTTTCTTCCCATATTTCTCGACCCACCATTCGGGATAGCCGTGTAGCATGAAGCAACCGGAGTTCTCATGGCCATGGCGCTTGCAATGAGTGCAGTACAATTTAGACTTATCAATCCGAGTTGGTGGCTGGGAAGTTCTGCCGCGATCAGAGGAAAGGGCAAAAATATGTGCATCATCCCTCTCCTTGGTAGCCTTGGACTGAGCAATGCCACGAGACCTTTCTTCTTGAAGAAAGGCATGATACGCACGATCAAGCATCGGCGGTGGCTGTTGAGACAAGAAATTGGTCCTCACAGCCGCATACTTTTCATCATCAATACCAATCAAAAATTGGTGTAATTTTTCCTCTTCTCTGTCAAGTTTGTACTTCGCTGCCACATTGCAAGTGCAATTCCCATATTCACATCCATGGGGAGGCTTGAGTCTAACCAAATCATCAAAGAAACCCATCAAAGTGTTATAATAATCCTCAACAGTCATTGATTTCGACTGTTTGCAATTAGTGATTGAAGAACGCAATTGTTGATGCCGAATCCCACTGGCCTCGCAGAAGCGCTTCTCCAAATAATCCCACAAATTTTGTGCTTCCTCAAAGTATGGAGTAGAAGCCGCAAGTTTCGGGTCAATGGCTCGCAAAATCCAGGATACAAGCATAGAATTGACAGTGTCCCAATCAAGCTTCTTCTTCTTCTCCGTTGGTTTGGAGATGCTACCATCAACAAACCCATATTTCCTTCGAGATTTCAGAGATAGGGTGATAGCCTAGACCACGCAAGATAATTCTCACCCTTTAACACCACATGTGTGATCAAGTTGTTGGGTTGATCTCCTACGCCAAGATAGAAAGGGGATAAAGGATCAATTTTGCCGTCTTCACCCATTGATGATTAAACAGTAATGAAGAATAGAGATTAGAGTAGATATTAGAGTAGAGATTAGAGAATAGAGAGTAAAAAAAAATCGAAAATATTAGGGTTTAGAGTATAGAGGCTCCGATACGATGTCAAATTAGAGAGAATAGAGTGAATAGAGTTTTCTGTGTGTTGTATTACGATATGTACGGTATATATATATATATATACAACCTAGAAATAGAGGTTAGGGCTTATATAGTGGCCCAATAGCTATATACAATATATCGCTCAACAATGAATGACACGAAAAATCACATTTGCCAGCTCTAGTAGAAGTATTAGCAGTAGCAACATCAACAGTACAACAACAGGCAGAAGGAGTGGTAGGAGTAGTAGTAGCAGCAGTAGCAGGAGTTGAAGGAGGAGGAGTACTAGTCATGTCTAAGGAGCTCTTTTGGCTTGGCCTGATGGTATAAATTTAGTTGATGTCTACAGAGCTTTTTTAGCTGGGCCTTTTGGTATTTACAATGATGAAAACTACTAGAGCTACACTGCTTTATAGCCATTAGAAATCATTCGGATAATTCGAAAGAAATAAGTGAAGGGCTTGCGTAATTTTAGATTCCCATGTTGTACCTTGAGTTAAACTTAGGCTATATTTGCAACACTAATTATAATGGAGCTAAAATTGCTGAGTTAGTGTAACACCCCTGATTTACTAACTGAAAATAAATAAGAATTAAAGGAAAAATAAACAACCTTTAAATAAAATTGCGGAAGCATACACCTAAATCGGAGGTATTACCGCCACACTCAACAACCTGTCAAGTGTTAAGGCTTACAAAAATCCCAATAATTACAACCCAATAACTCTAAGTGAGCTATTTGTACAACTTTATAAACTCGTTATAACAAACTAATCGAAACACTTGAGCTCCTTAGCTACGGTCACTTGATAAACCTGCTTAGAAAATCTTGACTGCTCTCCATTAAGGACAAATTCCAAAATAGATCGTCGCAGGGCCACCATAAGAAAAAGACATGGCCGCAAACACAAGTAGCAAAACAAAATAACACACACGTCAGCAAAAGCTGAGTAATCACCACATATCAGAATATAGAGTATAATTGAATAATAGACAATACTAGCTCAATTAAACAATGTAGTTCGAAACTACATTACACATTGTACTCTGAAAAAATAACTTTTATCAACTCAACCTCGAATAATAATACGAACTTTTACTCAATTAACTCATATAACCCATAAGTGTGCCATGCTCTTTGTTTTATACCTATCCTTGGACATGGGTAATTCGAATAAAACCAACAAGTATAAAAACTTGAATACTCCCAATAACCAGAAAACACCTTGAACCAGACCACATACGGGCCAATTCCCACTGTAGGGGACCATAGAAAAATAATTAATAAAGATTGTACCTCATTCTTAACTTATGATCATTATCTCATTACCAACATGTCAAGGACTAAGGTCTATAACGCCGAGCCTCAAACCAATAACAAAATAATAATCTCAACCTTTTGATCTCATACATCGATCAAGTAATCTTTCACATGATAATAAATTCTCAATATTGGCACATGTTCCCAAATAATATAATGATTCAAACTCAATCCAATTGTAATATATCTCAACTCTTATAGGGCAATCATACTATTTACCCAAATGTAATCAATTCTCAACCCAAAATAATACTCTGCATTAGTAACCCTAAAACCTCAATATAACAATAGTCCCTAAAATAACAACATTAAAAACCCTAACACGAATAACACAATAATCAATTCGAAAATTAAATCATAAAATACAGTACAACAAAAGTAATACAATATTCAATACCAATCAAATCATATAATACCATATAATAATCAATTATATACATGTACAAGATTACAAATAATAAATCATACAATTCATATATAATAATAAAAAATATAATACGAACGACTCCAAAATAAGTTCCGTGTGATTACCTTTTGTAAATAAATAGATCTAATAGAAGGGGGAAATGCCGCAACTACATGCACATGAGTACTCCGCAATTGCTACTGATCACAATTATACGCATCACTCAAAACTTTGAATGCATCACTCAAAACTTTGGAATAAAAATAAAGTGGCTTTGACCAATTAATGGTCATGAAGATAAATGCTTATTCTAATGCTAAGATTAATAGTAGGCTGCAACTATAACGCCACAAACAAAGTGGAGTAAAGAGAAAGAAGAGAAAAAAAAAACTAGGACTTATAAATCAAAACGGCTGCAGAATATTTTTGTATCAAAAACTTAATAGGGTTAAATTATAACAGTTTATATACCCTTAAAAGTATAGAATTCTATTTCAATTAAAATAGGGTTTTAAACCTCTATCAAATAATAGGATATAAAATAAAAGATACGAAATAATATCTGATTTTTATACTTTATAAGATACAAAATTCACGGGTATTACATTTATTGAAAGTGAAAAGGTAGTTGATTGAATGAAGTATTTGGCAGTATGAAGGGGCTGAAATAGTTTACATACATTTAATTTTAAAATGTTAATAGATCAAATAGAAAATTTATGATTCTTAAATTTAGATGAAAATCGAGTGTCTGAGATAGCTCAAGTAGGTAGAGCTCTCCTTGCGGTCCATGAGATTTTGGGTTCAATTCTCATCACTCACCCTATACTCTTAAAACACCAAAATAAAATTGAGATGAAAATATATTTGGAAATTTTGCAAAAAACCACCTTTTATAAGCAATTTTTTGCAAGAAACCCCCTTATAATTTTGTTTTTGCAATGACACATCTTAATCAAAATTTTTTTTATAATGTCATACCTCAATCAATTTTTTTTGTTTTTTTGCAATGAGACACCTTTGGCCGGAAAAGAGGGTTTGACCCTATTTTCGGCGTTGACCAGACCACGTACGAGACATGTGACCTCTTAAAACCACTCTCCAATTACGCCAACCACCAGAACGACACTGAAACCGACTTAACCACCCATCAAAACCGCCTTACCCACCCACCATCACCGAAACCACTCTATTTGGTGACGTTTTTGTGGATGGTGTCGTTGGAGAGTGGCTTTAAAAGGTCCTATGTCTCGCACGTGGTCAAGTCAACGCCTAGAAATAGGGTCAAACCCTCTTTTCCGGCTAAAGGTGTGGCATTGCAAAAAAAAAAAACAAAAAAAAAAATTGATTAAGGTGTGTCATTGCAAAAATAATAAAAAATAAAAAATAATAATTATTAAGTGGTTTCTTGCAAAAAAAAACTACTTATAAAAGGTGGTTTTTTGCAAAATTTCCTATATATAAAGCCAATTAGATACAAAGACTTTTGAGTTTGTCCCACCTGGTTCACAATAATTTATTAGCTCCAACTACGTCCGGATCTAACTCGGGTAGCACACCTGGTTTATGGTAGGTGAGTCTCCCAATACGAGTTTTCTGCATTTGGTAGGTGAGACTTGAACTCGAGACTTCCTTAAACGATATCAAGTTACTTACCATTTGATTCAACTCTTATTTATTAGTTCAGATACAAAGACTTGCTTGGCCATATTATTTGCACCAGCCACGATATTTCTTGGTGCCTAGTACTTGATTCTTGTATCGCATATGTGATAATGTGATATGTTGGAATAATGTCCTAGTTTCAATTCATAGACCTTGTCAAACTACTGAACTAGTAGACGTGAACAACCAAAAATCAAACTAGTTTGCAAGTTGCAAGTGTTCAATAATATCTAAGAAAGAACTCTATATCATGAATGTCAACTATTTAAAAACAATACGAGTAGTCGTTATTGGTCAACTTACTGGCCATGGGTGGCGTCAACCGTCAACGGCAAGAAGAACAAGATTAGGCAACAACTTCTAGTTCTAGCTTGGAAAAAAAACCAACTTTAGCTTCTTGACTTTTCACCTTGGACAAACAATAATTGTGACTATATTCGTAGACTCGTAATAATTAATTTGATTCCTTGCCATACATTTCTTATATAATAAGATTGTTAAACAATGACCAAACTAAGCTTTGACTTGGTCTAGTGGTAATATTGTCACTTTTTATTCTTGAAATTGGGGGTTCAATCCCCACTAGAGAAACTTTAAGAGTGGAGATCTGTTACTTTTCCCCCTCACTCTCAAATGGACCAAAAAAACCATGATGTTTGAGGTCTGGTCAGGGTAGTGCTTGTACTCTCCATGTTCTTAACTAATTTAGTTTTTGATTGAAAATCAATTATACTTCCACTGTTTTTTAAAGTTCGACTGACTTTGTATTTGCGCGATATTTAATGAACATGTTTGACCATAAATATCTTTGGCTATGTCGTATGAGTAAAATTTATATGAAAATTTTATAATAAGGTGAATCTAATAAAATCCCATGATAATTTATTTCTATTGTATAAATTATAAACTATTAGTCGTTTTCTCTTTATTTTTTCTCTGTAGAGTTCTTCAAAAAAGTGTTTCATAGGTCGAAAATAGTCAAATTTCTCCAAAAAAAAAATTGGCTATTTCCGACCCTTCCCTTAAGTTTCTTTATGTTTTTGTTATTGAATTTAATAAATTTACACTCTTTGAAGGAAATAAATATCCCTATACTGGGCTTGACTATAGTAAGTGCTTAGTGCTCCAATGGTGGGTTTTGTTCTAGTTTTGTTTTTATTTTTGTTTTTTAACTTAGTATGGTACAATTAGTTGTTTCATTGTAAAGATTTGTGTGGAATAAAAAAAAGAGGTTAATCATTCGATTACAATCAGATGAATCAGACGAAAATTTTCTTCATGGTTACAACAAATCGATAAACCCCCTAGCCGAAGAAGGCTGTAAATTACAGCGATATGAAGGAGGGTATGAAGAATGCACAATTTGTAACAACTAACGATCGCAGCTTTGCTGAAATGATGTTTTTAATTATTTGATTTAATTATCATGCATTATTAGATTTGAATCTCTTTGTAGATCAGATGTCGTGTGACTTTTTATTTATAAATTAAATCAATCTTTACTCAAAAAAAAATTATAAACTATGGTCACACTTATTTTAATTTGACTACATGAATAGTAAGTGGGTTGAACTTTCAGAAACTGAGGTAGTATATAGTTTGGCCATCTTCAAATAATAATAATAATAATAATAATAATAATAATAATAATAATAATAATGTATTTATAATACGTACTCTACCTTTTTTCGCAAAATGGTGGCATTTTTTTAGTTACCATCTCCAATGCATACAAACCTTTGATCATTAATATTTAAAATTGATATAAGTACTAGTAAAATAATAAATAAAATCACAAATATATATATATATACATAGTTTTGCGGGATTTTAACAGATTTTTTTCGATGTGTATTACAAATTTTGCTTTATAACTTTTAATAATTATGTCTGATTAAATATATTATTGGTCAATGTTTAAGCATTGGATTCGTGCATAAAGCAAAATGATCCGTGCACAAAACAAATAATGGGACAAACATAAAACACAAATATATAATTCTTGTACTCCATATGTATTTAAATGAATTTAGATTCTCTATAATTCCAATTTAGATTCTATTTAATAAATAAATAATGATCAAATTCCAAATAAGAAAAAGAAAAAGAAATGGTGAGAGAGTAAAAGATGGCTTTAAATATTGAAATAAATACAAGTTTTTATTTTTAACAAACTAAAAAGCAATTTAAGAGATTCAAGAACAGTTTTAAAGTTTTTGAAATCAAATGGAGTAAAATATGTAAAAGAACATTTTTAAAAATATACATTTTTATGCACTATATATAAGAGTTTTGTTAACCTTTTTATTATTATTATTTTTTTTAATAGTTGTTAACCTTTTTATAAAGGTGGGGAAAATATGCATATTCAGTATAAAATATATGCATATTTAATATTTTTCATTCTTCTCATTTTAATTAAAAATTAAAGAACTTCTCATTTGACCCTTAATTTATATGCAAAGTATATCAAAACAAATCTAAAATTTCTCATATTACTATATTTTGAAGTACTTCAAATAAAAGTTGTTAATTGTAATACCTTTTTATAAGGCAGGGAAAATATGCATATATTCAATATAAAATAAATGTATATTTAATTTTTCTCATTCGTCTCATTTTAATTAAAGAACTTCTCATTTGACCCTTAATTTATATGCAAAGTATATGAAAACAAATCTAAAATTTCCCACATACTATATTTTGTAGTACTTCATATCAATAAAAATTGTTGATTGTAATTAAAAAAAAATAATGAGACAAACAATCCAAAACATTTTTTAAAGATGTGTGTAAGGTGGTAGTCCGTATTAATTATAAAAGTTAGAGATATAAAATGGATTACTAGCTGCCTAATCATGTTCAAAAAATAAATAAAAGTTGATTATACTCCATATGGTTAATTTGCTTTGAATACATTATACATGTATACTTCATATCACCATATGGCTCATATTGCTTTGAATAATTATTTCTTACTTACATAAATATATTGTTGGTTCAATTTTGACTATCCTTATGACATCCCACGGTTTTTCCATATTTTTTTCTCTGGTAACTACGGATGAATTACATGCAACTTGCAATATTATTATTTTTTTTGGTCTTTACATGAATTGCACCTACCCCACTTTGCAGAAAAAAAAAATCATCCACATACTGGCGCAGCCACGCACATCACATGAAAGTTCAATTCCACCAAGTTTTGTTAATTATCCAATCTTATTTGCTCAATTATTTGTATTGTTCACGTGTCCTAAAACACTAACCTAATTTTAACTCCAATCATAATCAATTTACTTTACTTTTTGTTGACCTAATAAATATTAAACAGCCCACTTTACTACACCTATAAATAGACGTGAATACATGCATTTATCTTACACCATCAAAGTTCATTACAACATAGCTTGATTGTACTCTCATTCTATACTCCTAAGCTAGCTAAATAATCTTCTCATTCAAAACCCAACCAATCACTATTATGGCTCTTATGGCACAAGACACGACTCCCCTAGTGTTAAACATAACACGAGGGGAGCCAGAGATAGTGTGCCCGGCTGAGCCTACACCACGAGAGCTAAAACCGCTCTCAGACATCGATGACCAAGAGGGTCTTCGATTTCAGATGCCGGGCATAATGTTTTACCGGGCTGATCCCTCCATGGAGGGAAAAGACCCGGTCAAGGTGGTTAAGGATGCTTTGGCTAATGCTCTTGTGTTTTTCTACCCCTATGCTGGCCGGTTAGTAGAAGGGCCTAAGAGGAAGCTCATTGTCGATTGCAATGGTGAAGGCGTGCCCTTCATCGAGGCTGAGGCGGATGCAACGCTAGAGGATTTCGGAGATGAAATTCATCCTCCATTTCCTTTGGAGGATTTGTTTTATGACATTCCTGGTACTGATGGAATGCTTGGCACTCCCTTGTTCATTGTTCAGGTAACCCGTCTTAGATGCGGTGGATTCATAGTGGCCATTCGAGGAAACCATGTCATCGCCGATGGCACAGGCGTAATGCAACTAATGAATGTGGTAGGCGAGCTAGCGAGAGGCTTCACCACCCCATCCGTCCCCCCAGTTTGGGATCGCGAACGCTTAACCGCGAAAGAACCCACTAATGTCACCTTCCCTCACCCCGAGTACGACCAACACGAAGAAATCGATCACCATCATGATCAAGCCAACCTTGTCCAACAATCCTTCCTCTTCGGACCAACCGAGCTTGCAGCCCTACGCCATAATGTCCCTCCACACATCAAACAATTCTCCTCTTTCGACATCCTTAGTGCCTCCCTATGGCGTTGTCGTACCATAGCACTTGGACTAGACCCCGAGGAAGAGATCCGTCTACTCTTCGCAGTCAATGCAAGGAACAAGTTTAACCCACCCTTAGCGAAGGGATACTACGGAAATGCGTGTGCATTTCCGGCAGTTTGCGCTAGGGCGGGCGATATATGCAACAATGACATGGCATATATATTGGACCTCATTAGGTCTACCAAAAAAGAAGTGAATGAGGAATATATGAGATCTATTATGAACCTTATGGTAACAAATGATAGGCCTGAATTTTCGGTACGTCAAACATACGTGGTGTCCGACCTTAGACATTTAGGGTTTGCAGACGTGAATTTCGGGTGGGGAAAACCCGTTTATGGAGGACCGGCTAGTAACGGGTCGGTACCAGATGCAAGCTTCTTTATTACCTTTAAGAACAAGAAAGGTGATAATATTATTATGGTGCCCATTTCCTTGCCTCCAACGGCAATGGATGTTTTTGTTAAGGAACTAAGAGGTATGATTGACATTTACCCCTCAACATTTAACCATTTTTAGAATTTAGGCATTGCAAGGTGAATTGGAGTATTATGATTATTAATTTTTCAATTGTTGTAGACCAAATTTATTTACATTCTTTTAAAGTATTCTTGTAATTGTATTGGAATAACTTTATTGTACTACACAAAGTATGGTTGAAAGAAATAAAAATTAATCTAAGAACATTTACAATATATTCGGGTAATTAGTAAGCTTATACTTTCTTTGGGCTTTTAATTCTAAGAGTCAGTTTTACAGTTTACTCGATATGTAATATGTCTATGAACTTTGCCCAAATATTTTATGTCTATGTAAGTTATAAACAAACTTTCTGCCTTTGTTTTTATTTTAAGTGCCTTTAGCCAAATATATCTTTTATTAATATTAATATATTAAAGTATATTATAAATAAGTTAACATCGCATTGAGTATATATACATTGAGACATATACAACAAGTACTCGTGCCTATGTTTAACGACCTTATTTAATTAAAAAAACCGTGTTTGATTAACTATTAATGTGATATGTATGGTGTAAAAAGCAAATTAGAACACTTAAAGAAAAACATGAAAGGATCAAAGAACTGTACGTTTGATCTTCAAAGTCAATTAGTGAACTATTTTTGCTCCAATCATTGAAAGGCCAATAGAGTATGTTGGGGGAATCAAGAGGAAGTTTCATGTAACGTATTGCTGGACAAAAATTTATCTTTTTTTAGATGCACTAAGCTTTTTATTATTTAAAAAAAATAAGAAAAAAAGAGAAACATTTACATACGAGTTTCTAGGGCATTGGACCATTGAGGGTGCCGAGGTGGACTGGATTAAGAGGACAAATTGGACAAATTACTTAATTACTTAAGGACCACTGCACAACGTTGACCTTCGAGGGCTTCATCAGTCATTGGGCTAGCACTACCTTGGCTGCATTCTGATTTCCATGCAACAAAATAGGGCATGTAACGTTAAAATATGCTTTGAATCGGCTAGTCATTTACGAATGATCCAATACAGTATATGTATGCTACAATTTTCTATATAGACTTATTTTTGGAGATGGACTTTCTTCCAACCTAAGGCTTAATATTTCACTTGAAAGGAAGGGTGGATAAGATTCAAACCCATGACCTTTGAATCACGTTGGCTCTGATACTATGTTAAAAGACCATCTAAATCAAAAGGTTTAGCTAATGGTTGAACCTCATGAATATGTTTTGTACTCTATCTGTCTATTAGATATAGCCACAAGTTTCAATTCAACCAGAAATTTCAACAATTCTAGGAGAGGCAACTAAACCTTAAGAAAAACAAGGACTTTGTAGTCACCTTAAAAAATACGGAGTACATAAGTTACTCCGGTCTTACTATAACTTCATCTCATACAAGATTTTGCACCGAATCTAAGCCAACATTACAATTTTTTTTTTATTTTTTTTTTTTATTTTTTTTTTTATTGGACAACTACAATCTACAGAGTACAACATATTAATAATGCATGTTTATGGTACATTGATTGGGACATACCTACATATGCTCATAAATTCTAGGAGAAACATTTCAGAAGAATAAAACAAAACTTTCTTTTTTAGACAAAAGAATTAAACAAAGAGACAAGATGCTGGTTGCCCTACCTTTTTTACTATTACAGTACAAGCTAAGCTATTTGTGAGACAACATACAGGACAGCAGTAGCAGAAAATTTGGAATGATACTTTCACTGCATAACTACAATCTACTCTACATCTTCAGGGCACCTAACATTTGGAAAACAGTTATGTATATCAAAGCAGTAGGACCACCTCAGCTGTACTTTACCACATACCTCAACCCCCAATCTCCCAAGGATTTTTTCATCTCAAATTTCCCTCCTTTTTTCTCATTTTTACAGATTCGTCGAATTGTCCCGCCAACAATCTAATGGCTGCCATTCAGACCTGTGTAAAGAGTATCTTGATGGTCCGAGAAGGCGAGGACTTACAGTTTTACAGCAGGCAATGTTAGTTCTCTTTGGATTGAATAATAATCCGGGCTCCTGAAGCCAGCCTGTTAGGATAATACGAAGTGGAATTCAGGCAACAAAAAAGATGTGAGCAAGAACTAGTTGCGAAAAAATGAGTAGGAATTGAAACTTAACTTTCTTCGATTTTAATGATCTTTTCCTGAATCTCCTCTTCTCTGAAGGAGTTTACCCTTGTTGACGGATTCTTCCCTGAGGAAGTCTCTGACATTCTTTTACTGCCACCATTTGCCATATCATGAGATATGATACGTGATTCACGGCTTCCATCAGAAGACACCCTAGGTTTGTCTGAAATGGGTGATCTCAATGACTCGCTTCTTGGCTTGCTTAAAGAGGTTTTGATGGACCTTGGAATGCATTTAGTCTTTGTTGAGGTTGCCTCTCCATTGTTATCAACCGAATCAAATTTTTTAGAAGATCTGAATGAAACAATTTGATTATTATCACTTAAGCACAACTCCTTAGTAACATGATTTTATAGCTTCTTCCCAGCTTAAGCTGAGATATAAGAACCAAATATCAAGTACAATTAAAAAATAATGCAAATGCAAAATTGATATTACAGCTGATAACATGCCTGTTTCCGTTTCAGATTTGACTAGCCTATCATATCTTTTTTTGGTGCAAACCAACTGATCATGTCTAGATGTTCACTACGATCTTTGTTCTACAGGACTAGTGTGTTTTGTTGACCTCTTTTTCTTTAGCATGCTTCTTCAAAATCCATCATATGACAAGGAGATTTATAAAGGCAATTGAGATATTGGTTTTTTTTTTTTTTATTTACATTAATTTTCATGGTCTTTTAAGGACCAGAACCAGAGGTTCTGTTTCACCATCAGACATATTTCCTAATTTGCACGATTAACTCATCTTCAAGCCCAAACTTACCCATTTTACAAGACAAAAGGTGTTTTCTGGGTTTTCCCCTCTCAGCATGATGTACTAATGAACCAAGAAACTACAAACTAGAAGGTAGATTTAGCTAAAGAACTAATCACACACAGCCAATAAGCTTGAGGATGAGAAAACTGAAGTATGTTAGTACACTACAATACACTAATACAATATTATATATGCTAGTTTTAAAGAAGTGTAAATTGAGATATAGACGTATAGTCTTATTACCTGTCAGCATTATACGAAGAAGACCGTTTAAGAGTACGCCCGTCCCCTTGTTCCTTGGGCATTTTAGTCTCAACCAAGCTTCCACTAAAGTACTCCTTATCTTCCAATCTGAGACCCATTAACCTTGAATTGTCTGACAAACAGTCAAGCTCACCTAACATAACCGAAGTAGAATATAGGGGGGAAGGAAATTTTGAATCAGAAAATCTCGGTCTGTAGAGAGGTATCAGCCCAAAACTATGATCTTTCACTGATATTGACCCACAAGATATCAGTTGCATCAACATGTTTGACGCTTTCATTTTGTTGCTGGATGGCATCTGCATGCCTTCCGCTTCAAGTCTTCTGAAGCTATTAATCTTACTTAAATCAGACCTGATTAAAGATTCCAATGTTTCAGCTTTTCCACCAGATGAAGATGCACTTGAGGAAGTTGGTGGCGAAACAGAATTTCCACTTATCTCTGGATTCTGTTTTGAGCTATCAGCATGAATTGGGTTGTCCTCGTGATATTCACCATCTAATGTCCCATCCTCTGTAGAAACACCTCGAGTACAGGTTTCTTTCTGATTAACTTGTTTCGGATTTTCCTCAGTCTGAGTAGAAGCATCGGCTGCTCCTTCACTCTTGGGTAACTTGTATTCTGTCAGACTTAAGGAAGCACCCCATGGAGAGTGGCTTCCTGCTCTTGAGTCAGGAGAAACAGCTGAGGAACCTGAACGTTGAGATGGAGGAGATGTCTCATCTTCATGAGGATGCTTTGTTTCTTTGTCATCTGTGCTCTTGTCATCCATGCTCATGGAAGGGGATGTATCCTCGTTACTTCTACAAGTAGGTGGTTCAGGCAACTGCTTTAAGTTGTGCATTCTGTAAACAGCTACTGGGCTGAAACGATCTACAATATTGAATACACCAACTTTCATTAATATCACTGTGATTAGTATGTGACGCCAAATTCTTCTTTGTCTCAATTTTGATAATTAACACCTGTCAACAATGAACTCTATAGTTTCATAGCATTAAACCTTTCAACAAGCTACTCTCAGTGAAATTTTACCTGAGTTGGAATCTTCAATGATCTCGGAACCCTTGAGAATATACTCATCTCCATGAGCCGGAAGTATGAGATCATCTTCACAGAGATCATGCCATACAAACCCACTCTTGTAGCTCCTGTGATGGTTTGAAGAAGCAGAATGAGTTGAAAACTCCATAACAGGAACACTTATGCTCAAGATGAAGTTAAGTCACGCAATAAGCAATAAGCCATAAGTAAATTCTCTTTGGTGCCAAGTAAATTTATAATTTTTTTACCAGCAAAAGGTAATGACAAATTGACAATGATCCATATTAGCAAGGAGAGAAGGCATTCGTTTACAAACAAATTCTCTGCTCAAAATATCATTAATCAAGATTTATAGTAACACTAAGATCTTAGTGTTCACTTGAATGACTATTACCATAAATAATAAATCCTATGGGCTACAGTATCGTCAATTTGAGATTAAAAGCTAAATGTGAGCATCTTGTCCTTGAATAAGTTCACTATTCATTATTGTATGCAAACACCATAAGAAGTAGACTAAAAAGTATTAATAAAACTAGCAAATAGGTCTAAAGTCGATAGTGCCAATAACCTCGTCTAAGCTTTAAAAAATCAGAACACATTTTATCTACAGAAGCTACAGAAATTAAGTGTGAGCATGTTGTTTGTTCGCTATTCAACTGCGTATGCAAATAGCATAATTAGACTTAAGTATTACAGTAATAAAGCTAGAAAATTCAAGTTAAAGTCGACAGTATCAATAAACACATCTAAGCTTCAGAACACATGATTGTGCAATTAAAAGTCACAAAGACATTGGCTTTAGTTTAATCGACGCAGAACATCTAAGTATCCTTTTAACCCTTTTTTCTTTTATTAGATCCCCAGACAAGCAACATGTGCAAAAGTGATAATGTATGACTACCTTTTAGAAGACCATGAATACATTGAAGCCATGCCTCTTCCTCTCAGATTGTTAAGCCTCTCAATCACATCTG